CAGCTCCAGTGCGGCTGGCCTATGGGGACCACACCTGCCCATCTGGCCCGAGCCTTCCCCGCCCGTCCCCCAGACCAAGCTCACTGCACCCGACTTCCCGTCTCTCAGGAGGGAAGCATTTCTCACCTCCAGTTTTTATTCTGAAAAATTTCAACCTATTAGAAAAGACTGATTCAGTGAACACAGCATGCCCGCCCCTCGGCTCACGTGCTCCCGATAGTCTTGACAGCGATTTAACCTGTGGCTGACACGGGCGGTGGCTGCAGGGACCGCCCGTGCCTGCCTTACATGTGCGTGGAGTCGTCAGGGCACAGGGACCTGGGGGACGGGGTCTGTGGCGGTGTCAGGGGCTTCCGGTGCTACTTGGTACCAGGCGTCTGCTGCAGCATGGCCGGCTTCACGCACACACTCACACGTGCAGGTTGTGTGTTCCGTGTGAGTCGGTGACGCGTTAGTGATTCCTTAGTCTTACCAGAACGTGTTAGGCAAAGTGAGCTTGTACTTAAAGAGACTTAAAGGAGAGAACATTCGGGGTGCACTGGGGTCCCAGAGCAGCCTGGTGGCACAGGACCACGCGTGCGCTGGCAGCGAGAACCCGGCGGCTCTCTGCTGACCTGCCCAGGGTCCAGGGCGTGGGGTCCACTTCCCTGCCCGGCACCCCAGGGCGCCACAGCCACAGGAGTGGAGGCACCGGGTCCCGCAGCAGGGTCCCCGCGCTGGGTCTGTGCCAGCGTCAGCGGTAGTGACACCCGAGGCTCAGACAGCCACCTGCCTCGTGTCCCCAGTGGGAGGGCGCCGCGGTTTCTGCCTGAGCAGGTGGCGTGGTGGACGGAGCTGGGGCGACGTGCCCCCCGCTGTGGCCCAGCGCGTGGCGAGTCTTCAGCCTCCCATGAGCCGCGACTTAGGTGCTGGTCAGGGTGAAGTTCGTGGTTTTCAGTGAACCGATGCAGAAACTGTTTGCCAAGTACGTTTTATCCTGCTCTGAAGACGGAGACGGAGGCAGTTTGGGCAGGGAGGGCGTCGCGGCCAGAGGGTGGCCGTCCGTCCCGCTGTCCTCGTCCTGCCGTCCTCGTCCTCCCGTCCTCGTCCTCGTCCTCCCACCCTCGTCCTCCGCCCTCGGCTCCTGCGGCCGCGGCTCCGCCAGGCTTTCTTGCGTGCTGTGGGGACGGGTCGCGCAGCTAGGACGTGCGCGGGTGGCCTCGGGGGGAGCTCCCTGTGGCATTTCAGATCGCGCCTCGTGCCGCCCAGCTCCGGTCGCCATCCGGGTGTCAGCGGGGGGCGCGGAGGCAGCCCCTCTTCGCACGTGCTTAGTTGCCTTTCTGTCGGTTTTGCAGACTCGTCGCTGTCTGATGGGTGGTGGCGCTAGGGACCCTCGGGTTGGGGGTGAGGGCAGGGCTCTGGTCCCTGCTCCGGTCATCGCGGCCTGGCCACTTTGCTGGGCGACACGCCCTCCCAGGCCCAGGGCGTGAGAAAGGGTTGTGCAGAGGGCTGTGACAGGTACGGCCACAGCTCGCAGCCCCGACCCCCAGAGCCTGTGCCGAAGCGCGTGCCCCAGCAGCGCTGTCTCACGGGTGGGGTCCCGGGCAAGTCCGGGAACGCCTGGTTACGGGCAGCGCGGCCGTGGCCGCCCCGCGTGTCTGTCACGGACACAGCAAAACTGTTGGTGTGGGAGGGTTCAGAAGCGGTGCCTGGGTGAGGACACTGGCATTTATCTTGAACTCCGGGGCACGGGCCGGGGCGGCTCATTCAGTCTTAGGAGCTGATGGCTGAGCTCGGGGTGTAGTCCGGTCCCCTGGGGAGGCCTTGAGCTGCCCATGGCGTGTGCCACTTCTCGCCCTTATGGGGTGCCCTGGCCTCCCAAACAGGCAGAGTGTCAGGGTCCCGTTGTACGTAGGAGCACGTGAGGCTCAGTCACTATGGCCTTTCACACTGCTGGTGGCGGATGTCATGCTGCGTGTTGTCATTTTAAAGCCTGAGCTTTCAGGATGCAGACCAGAACTAGCCCGAGTCTCCACCAATAAGGAAATTGCAAATCCAGTTTGAAGAAAATACTGTGTAGCCACTGAAAAGTATGTTTTAGAAGAACGTGTCCTGATGTGAGAATGCTTACGATGTAAGAAAATACAAAACCGAACAATGAAACGACCTCGGTATTCTCCACGGTTGGTGAGCACGGATGTCATAGTCGCGCCCGTGGCTCAGAGCGCAGCGGCTGTGCAGCCCCGCCGGCGGAGGGGCTGGCGCCAGCGGGTTTCCACCTTGCTGTGTGTCTGCGTTTCCCAGGTTTCTGTCGCGGACACTTCTATCTATCTACACGAAGGCGGAAGCGAATGTTATTAAACCTGTCGTCTGTCTCCCGTCCGCTTGCCCTGGGGGCTTCCTCTTGCTCCAGCAGGTCGCTGCTTTGGTTTTAGGTGGCCCGAGGGAGGAGGAGGAGGGAGGTGACGAAGGCAGAGGGAGCAGCAGGGGCCTCCAGTGCTGGGGGTGCAGGGAGGGTGGCCCGGTCTGTGGGTCTTGACCTCACCTGTTCACTGCCTTTGGGAATCGACCTGTTGGCCTGGAATTGACCACACGGGCGGGAAGATCAATCTGCAGGTTTTCTGAAATGCGGGTTGTTTACTGTGTCACGTTCGACCTTCTTCCCTGACGTGAGCGTCGGAGGAACGTGGCCCCGTGGTACACAGCCCTCGTCCCGGTCACTGTGAAATCGCGCGCCTGCTGGTGTCGGTGGCCCTGTCTGCGAGGCGGCGGTGGACCGCCCCTGCACGGCACATTCTCTGACTCCGTCAGGACGGACCTCCCCATGCAGGGTGCTGCCTGTCAGTGCAGGTGGTTGTTTTCCGTGACCTTTTATTGAGGACTTAAGTTACATTTTGAAACAAAGTCACGTTTCTTTGCCTTTGTGTGAATAGATACTGTGTGCCTTATGTATCTGTTTGAAATGAGTGATTAGAACCAGAGTTTACAAGATCTGGAGCTGTGATAACGTCATTAAAACATGGTGTTCTGATGCTGCCTGGGCTGTCACGCGTGTGCCTCAGTTTTCATTTTGGAATGGGCAACTGTGATACAGAGTAAGCAGGGAAGCAGCACCCCCAGCTCCAGTACAGCTGTGGCACTGGTGCAGACACACGGAGCCAGGTGGGTCAAGGTCAGGTTAGAGCCCCAGCTTCTGGAGCCTTCTGCCATCTCCTGGCTCTCAGGCATCTGCGCTGTCTCTTGCTTAGCCACTTACGGACCCACTCGGAGATGCTTTCAGTCCTGAGAGGCGGAGTTCTCTGCTTCCAGGGTCACTTCTCGCAGGACTTCCGGTCCCTTCCCTGACTTCTGTTGCAACCACAGCCTCTTTGGGCTTTTACTTCATCAGCATTTTAAGCACATTGCAATTTCGGGAATATTTGTCATTTAGATATGCCTTTAAATTTTTGTAGATGCAACTTTCTAATCCATAAAGCAGCTGATAATTGAAGTATGTACGTTGACGGTCATAGTAACAGATGTGACATTGGGGTGCTAAGCCGCGCAGGTACTGCTAAGCCTCATTTGGCTCCTTGTCCTGCCAGCAGCGACTTGGTGTCTACAGTTCGTAAGAGGGAGGAGCAGAAGGTCCCGCGTGGATAGATGAGTGTGACGAATGAACGGGTTTGCGAGGACGGCATCCGGAGGTGCTTACCAAGTCATTTTTGGGGGGTCTCTAGCGCAAGCATGGGCCTGAGTGGTGGCCGTGCGGGCCCCAATGTCCTACCCCAACTCTGGTGGCCGCGTGGCCACCCAGGCTGTCCCCTTTCCCGCCAGGCCTCTCCTGGGTGCCGTGTACACTTCTGATCCGGTGTCGTCATCGGTTTCGGTGACAACTCCGGGCCTCCCTCTGGCCTGCGCCGGCAGCTCCCGGGTGTGACGAGCTCGGCAGAGTTATTCGCAGCAGCCTGGTTTTTGTTCTTGTTTGTTTGTTTGTTTGTTTGTTTTTAGCTTCAGAGTGGTTTATTTTCAAAGGGCCATTGTAGAGGGCAGCTCTCTTCATGGGCACATGTGGTTCCAGGGGCCTGTTGTTTCTTGGTGTCGTGGTGGCTGTCACAGAGCCGGGACCCAGCAGCTTCAGAGGGACCTCAGAGTCCTGCATGGTTCGGGGACGCGACGGCTAATGGAGGTCCCCGGCCTGGCTTTTCCTTGCCCAAGCGTTCCCCTCCGAGGTCCCCCTGCCAGGAGGACACGGGCCTGGCTGGCGTGGGTGTGGCGTGGGTGCCGGGCGGCTGCCGAGGCCTCACGGGAGGAAGGAGAGTGGCTCCGTCGCTGACTCTGTTGTGGAAAGTTAAACATGGAGCTGGACGGCTGAGCCACCGCTGCCGAGGGGCCCGTGCTGTGACGGGTGGCCGGGCTCTGAAGCTGAAATTAGTGCCAAACCGACCGACGGATTTGCTCTCCAGTGTCTGAGCTGGAGCATCGCGCATTCGAGAGGCTCTCCCTGTCGGCGTCTGGGGGTGTCCCGGGTCAGGCGTGGGCACAGCGGGAGAGAGGGGAGAGGTGCCCGGGCGGCCCTGAGCGGAGTTTTTGGAAGGGAGCCGTGCTCGCGGCTGTGCAGGACGACAGGCAGAGGAGCCCCTGGTGTGGCCGTGGGGACTGCTGGCTCTCAGGTCCTGGCCAGCTGTGTGCACAAGGGACAGGGGCGGCGGACTTGCCCCAGGCAGGGCTGGGGTCTGAGGCTCCAGGCCGGGGGGCAGCCGCGGTGTGAGCCACAGCGTGTGTGCGGGAGTCCTCGTCGAGAGAGCTGGTGGCAGGCGGCGTGGCCAGCGGGAGCTTTGCTGCCTGGCTCGTGAAGGAGGTGTGACCGCTCCTTGAATCCCGGGAGGAGCCCACGTTCTTGTCCCTGTCCCGTGGGCCGTCTGAGGGGCAGGTGCGTTGGGAGTCTGGCGACTCCATTTACCTTTCCTCCTTCTTCTCAGAGCCGGCAGGCCCCCGATAGAGCCGGTGCTTTCTGACGCCGGGTGTCCTTTGTCCCCTAGGTATGGTCCTCGTGCGCAGCGAGAATGGGCAGTTGTTAATGATCCCTCAGCAGGCGCTGGCCCAGATGCAGGCGCAGGCCCATGCGCAGGCCCAGCCTCAGACCGCCATGGCGCCCCGCCCTGCAGCCCCCAGCAGTGCCCCTCCTGTCCAGATCTCGGCCGTGCAGGTGAGTGCGCCCCGCCCTGTCCCCGCGGCTGTGTGGCGGGTGCCCTCTGTCGTCCTCCGCGGGGGTGGCTGATGCTGTGGCAAGGCCGGCCCCGCTCGGAGGAGCCAGCTCCGAGTCCACGTGCGCGACACCCGCCCTGGCCCCGCCCTGCTCTCCCGTGACCTCGCCTTCCGGTGCCTCAGTTTCCTTCTGCAAAGTGGGGGTTCTGCCCGTGCTCCTGTCGCGGGCTCTCACGAGGGCCGAGAGTAGTGGGATGACGTGGAGGAAGCATCAGCGTCAGGGAGGCGCACGGGGGCCGTGTGAACCGTACAGAGGGCCCCCCCTCGCCCACGCGGGCGCTCATGCCGTAAGGGGTTGCCGCCCGGGCCCGGAGGAGGCGGCGGGAGGACCGTCCTGCTGGTGACCTCTGCTGCTCTGAGCTCCGTGGCTGGTCAGAGCTCAGGGGGAGAGGGACTAGAAAGCTTTGGAAGCCTACTTCCTTTCCCCCGCGAGTTCAGCTGCGTCCCTCGGTGGCGGTGCCCCGGCACTGCAGGGGGCTTGCAGAGCGCCCCCTTTCCGGGCTGTCTGAAACAGCTCAGAAGCGTCCAGGGCCTGCCTCATCCCGTCACGTGCGGAGCAGGCGCGAGGCATCAGGCGCGAGGCATCGGCGGCTTTGCGTGTCACTGTCTGAGCGTCAGCATTTTGCCATCGGCCACCCTTCACACCAGCTTCGGGGACACCTTGCTCAGGACTTGAGCTGTCCTTCCTTTGGACCTAGGTGTCTGCTGGCTACCGGGACCGTCTGTTTTACACTCTTCACCACTGGGACTGGTCTTTAGACCAGGGGACACATGCTTCTCAGTGCCTTTGTCACTTTTTTAGTGCTTGTGAACAAAGTGACAAGTCCACACAGGGACCGATTTCCCAGGTGCAGGCTCGCCGTAGGAGCCGGTGGTGTTTTGTTGTGCCGTGTGAAGATTCTTTGCTTTGGTGAGAAAGGTGTAGAGTTAGGGTGGCTTTATCCAGAACTGTGAGTCCACCTGTAGACGCACTCGAGTATGTCGCTCTGGAGTCAGGATTGATTTTGAGGTGTGCTGGCCCGCGGGGAATTACTGTCACTTGTCGCTCCTTTTAGATGACGCTAACTTGTTTTCCAGGCACCCGGGACCCCTCTTATTGCACGGCAGGTGACCCCAACGACCAGAATTACTGTCACTTGTCGCTCCTTTTAGATGACGCTAACTTGTTTTCCAGGCACCCGGGACCCCTCTTATTGCACGGCAGGTGACCCCAACAACCATCATCAAGCAAGTGTCCCAGGCCCAGACGACGGTACAGCCCACCACGGCGTTACAGCGCTCGCCCGGAGTGCAGGTGTGCGTCCTTGGTGCAGAGGTGGCGCACGTGTCGGGGCGTCGGGCGTGTGTGCGTGCCTATTGCACGCGACTTTACGGGTGGTGACAGTGGCCCTCGTGTGGGCAGCAGTCCCCGGTCCTGGTGGTGCGTACTCGTGTGTGACCCCCACACACCTCTTACTGGTGAGGCATCAGCGATTCGTGGGTTCCGGAACTGTCCATCTCAGCCAGCGCGGCCTCCTTGCGGTGACCCCTGCTGTCAGGGGCGCTGGCACACTCCGGCAGTGACCCCTGGCGGGTCAGCCTGCTGTCGGTGGTTTTTTGACCCGTGTGGAAGCCGTGGACGGGCCATGTTTTGGAGTAGGGGCTGAACTGACCTCTCTCTCGGCGGGTCTGATGCTCAGCCGACTCGGCCTCTGGTCTGTAGAGCCTGGAGGAGGCCCGTGTCCCGGCTCTGCTGGCCCCTTGCATGGCAGAGGGGACCCCTGCCAGGCGCGTAGCCTGCTCTGGGCAGCCGGGGCGCTGTCCCCGTGGTGGAGGTGTGTGTCGGTGCCCACTGGAAGCGCGCGTTTCACAGGGTGTGTCGTGTTTCATCGGGCACCTGGGCGGGCCGGGGCCGTGCCTCGGCACATGGCCGATCTCGCGTGACGCCCACCACAGCTCTGCAAATGGCGGACCACGGGCGGTGCGGGCAGCTAGGGGCTAGAGCGCCTGGCGCTGCCCAGCACTGGCTCTGCCCCCACCGGACCTCGCCCGCGTGCTCCTTTGGCGTCTGCAGTGGGCGGGCGCTGTTT